TAAAATACACAATCTTTTTACAAAAACTATACATGTACTTTTAGAAGTCTGTAAGGAAAAGTTTTAAAAGGCTGCAAGAGTATGTATCAAAATGTTTTCCCAGATCAGGTTAGTTTTAAAAAAAAAAGTTAACAATGGTGATCTCCAAATGGTAGAATTATGTGTTTGACTAGAAAGTCAAAGAAAACTTTTCCTTTTTTTAAAGTTATTCCACAATGCTTATTTTATTACTGGTAAAACAATACAGTATTTTTAATTAAATAAATCCCTTAAAAATGCCAAAGATTTGGTGATCAAAGTCAGGACAGTCTTTTTCCCAAGTAAAGTCTCCCTGATACCTTCAAATCCTTTAACTAAATTATTCATAACTAAAAGCCTGAAGTAAACTCATAGGAGGATTATGCTTATAAGAGATGTCCCAGGTTTATCTCCTATTTTCAATTCTCCATGAAACAAAATATATTCACGGACTTAGAGGAAAATTGACATTGAAGATTTCGTTTCTAGAATTTAAGCAAAGGTCCTGTAACAAGTAAAGAGAGAAAGACCAGACTGTGCATAAAGCACCATTAGGAGAGCACAGAAGAGTTCTTCACTATAATACAAAGTGCATGGGAAGAATCCTTGATGGGTGAGACAGCATTTTTTAACCAAACCTCATCACAAAGGTGGGGTTCAAAAGACAATGTCCAGAAGTAGTAGACATTTTTTAAAGACCTGGCAAAACTGACTTCTAGATAAGGCAAGAAAACGTCTTCCAAGATCACAATGGTGCTCTACATACCTTAAACCCTAATAGATATTCCTTGATTTGAAAATAAACAGCACTCTTTATTTCCTTCTGATAGATACAAGAAATTTAAATGTAGTAGGAATTAAATATCTGAAAAGAGAAACTATTTAAAATATACTACAAATCTAGGGTTATAAAAAGTGTGTTTAGTGGCCTAAGTATGCACCAAAACACAAATCTTGTTCACAGCGAACAGGTGGTGCTTTAAAAAAACTCCACTTGTAAAAACAGATGTATGGAATTCAGAACACATTTTCCCATCAAAACATGCTTGTAATGGTGGTTAAATCCCAGTCGGGTTCACAAGGCCTATTCCGTTGTTGGTGAGAAATATTTATCCCACACCTGTGTTGTATGTGACTGGTACTGGTAGTCTAAGTGGAGACACTAATGATGCCAGGGGAATAAGAGTGGCTCTCCTTTCACGCAGAACAGAAGCCTCTCAGCTGAGTCCCTCTTCACAAAAGCTCACAGCTGAAGAGATGCCACCCCCAAGGTAATACTCTCTTCCTAGGGCACTCCAAGTCCAAATGACCAGTCAGTGGGGGGCAGGGAGGGGAGGGAGGACCTGCCTCCATACCTCAAGATGAAATAACCACAGCTCCAGAGCTCCCGACTGGGAGATCAGCTGGATCTGTTGCAGCCACAGCACAGCCCTCTCTCCTCCACTAGGAATGATGCCAAGAGCACTCCCTAGTAAACCTCTAACACACAAACCTGTTTCAGAGACTATTCCCAGGATCTATGGCAAACAGCAAATACTTCATAAGCTCATATTATAAGTCAGGCACTCCTCTAACATATACATATATGTTTATATATTAATACATATAATAGATATAGAGAGATATCTTACAACATACATATGAATAGGTAGGTACTATAATCCCATTTTATATAAGCGGCAACTAAATTAGGCCCAGAGAAGTTAAATGCCCAAGGTCATGTGGCAAATAACTTGAAGAGCCAGGATTTGAATCCAGGTCCACCAAATGCAAAGCCTATCACTATGTAAACTAATTCCATCCACTAAAGAGTTGTTGAGTGAATTAAGACAGCCTCAGCAGCCCAGGTGTGCTGGTGGCAGTCAGGAATGAGTGGAGTGGTGAACCGCGGTCATCTACAAACAGGAATTTATAAAAAAAAAAAAAAAATACTTTGTATCCAGGCCCACTGAAAACTAGATACACTATGATCAAGGTTTCATATATTTTTAGGTCTGAATCAAAAAAGCAAAGGCCTAATGCAACCAAAATTCCAGAATGAAACTAGATAGATATAATCTAACATGATTACTAGACCCTAAAAATAACTTGTCCACCTACCATCAAAATGCTACAATATGTGCAGGCAGATGTTTACTATGTAGGAGGATGGCACTTCCTCATGCTTCCTTGTCTATTACTCTAATCCCTGCAAAAAGCCTCAAAAACTAGTATCTAAAAACTAGTATCTAATAAAATTTCTTATTAGAGGCACAATAGCCTTATGAGTAATAAGATGGACAACTGTAACCGGTTCAACTTCTTCAACTACAACCATACCATAGCTTCCCCAAGCTTTCCCTAGCTAGCAAATCTTCTTTTACAGAATAAGTAGTAATTTACACCCACTGACAGTGAACAACTAAGAGCTGATATTACCCTGCCCTGCTGGGCACATTGCCCAAGAGCTACAAGACATAAAACCATCCTATGAAATCTAAACAACTACAAATAAAACTACTAACTTTAAGTGAAGTCATTAAGTCTGCATGTTTTCAGATGCAGATAAAAACTGACTTCAACAGTGAGAACAAACCATTTAAACGTTTAACAGAATGTAGATTACCTCCTTCCTTGGAATAATTATTTTAATTTGCAATATTCATAATCACAAAATGCAATGCCACAGTTAAGTAAAAAAACTGAAATATACTTTAAAAACCTAAAAATAGTCCAATTAATGTCATTTTAAAATTCAAAAATTGGGCCTTAGTTGAGTTTACTCATCTGTTGCCTCTTCCTTTAAAAATTCAATGCCACCTCTCCCACACCCCTACATTATAAAGCACAGCTTTATAAAAGCCAAAAAAAAAGCCGTATTTGTATTAATAGTTTCTTTATTCATTGATTTGGCACACAGGAGGCCTCAGCATCCATGTTCAGTTATCATGAACCACAGAACTGCAGTGAGGGGTTCTTCAAGTCAAGGTGTATCACTCACTGAGACTTCACACCATGACAGAACCAAGAACTAGACATCATAAAATTCACCTCACTGCTCTAATGTAAGTTGTACCTTTTCTGATCCTGATTATAGCAATGTTTGGCCCATTTCTTTCTTCCCCTGCTCCACTCAATAAGCTTTTAATCAGAAATACACAGCTTCACACAAATATATACAGCACTGCTAAATGTACCTGCATTTGCCATTTCAGAGAGTAACAACAGGGGCACCATAACCAATTTAATACTTACAAACTAGGAGGTACCACCAGCCTAAGAAAAAATTTTCCTCATACCACCTTATGGTGGTCTTATCTTTTAGAGCAAGAACAAAAAGCAAATAGCCAACTTGAAGCTTCCACACAGGCCAATAAAAAAAAAAAAAAAATAGCACAGTAAACCAGAACCACCATCAAGCTCCATGAGGACCAGGATGTCCTGTCTCGATTACCACTGTATCCCTAAGTATTTAACACAGTCCTTGGAACACTGTAAGCGGTTAATATTTTCTGAATGAATAAATGATAGCAATCATTCACTGTTCATGTACTCTTTATGAGGAACTTTACTAAGCTCATTGCGTATGTAACAAGCCTTTAAAATAACAACTGGGGACTTGATAGGGAAGGGGCACTCTGAGCCTTACGAGACAATACTATGAGGGGGCCAGCATAATTTTTTTTCTTCAGTTTTACAGATGAGGAAATTGAGGCTCAGAAGGACTGGCCTTCCCAAGAAAACAAACCTGTAAATGGCTGAGCAAGTTGGCTGTCCTACTCAAGAGTCTGTGCACCTTTCTCTCTGCCACATCAATACCAAAATGAAGGTTAGAGCCAGGAAAAAAAAAAAAAAAGAACATGGAGAATACAGGTTGGCCAAAAGTTGTATTCTCGAACATTCACAAATGGAGTTAAGTTTGTCCCTGAAAATAAATATATCAATCTTCCTAGTTCAATATTGCAGAGACACAGCCAATAGGGCCTACAGTTCTGTTTCCAATAGGCTACATTCAATCGCCTATGTTCAGAGCACTGTGGGGTTCTTCTAAGTGCAGGTGCCCTGTTTAAAAAGTCACTCATCTACATTAAGAATGGCTTCAAAAGCTGAAGCTGTAAATAAAAAGCTATATATAACAATTCTAAACCTCCGTTCATTAAAATATACCTACATTCTCTTCCCGGAAAAACTGCCTGACCAAAGGAATTCAAAGAACTGGCCAGACAAGTGAAGTGTTTGGCCAGTTACCCTCTAAGGAAAACCAGGTCTCCGTAGTGAGCACAGATACCCTGTCATAGCTTGGCTATTCCCTAAGTGTCCCCTCGAAAGCAGCATTCAGGCACTACCTAAGATTATTAGGCTTCCTACTAAAAATGTGAAGCAGAATTATACAGAGGATGATTTTTTTTTTAAACTCTGAGCTGGGAACGGAAGTCAAGTTCAGATTCTCTTCCTTCCTCAAGCGAGCGAATTAAAGAGCACCCCTCCACACACACACACACACGCCCTAGGGCCTCTTTCACCTGTGACATTCAACCCAGCAAGCCTCGGTGTGCTGCGAATTAAGGCTCTCCACTCTGGGGAACAGGCGGGTGGGTGGGAGCACCCGGGAGAATGGACTGGAGCCTAAGTTTTCAATCGGATCATTCTTCTCAACTTGGGCAGCTCTTTCCTTCCTTCCTTCTTTCCTCCCTCGGGCCCCGGCACGCACTCAGCCTCTGTCGGCATGGGCAGGGCCGGAGGGCAGGGCTGCCGCAGCTCGGCGCCCCTCGAGGTCTGAGGCGCGGGCTGCCCCCGGCGCGGAAACCGCGCGGGGCCGCAGATCAGTCCTCGCCGCCAGGCGTGGGGACCGCGAAGGGGCAGCCGCGGCGGGGCGGAGGGGCGGGGTGAGCACTTCCTGACTCTCGCATTGTCCACGCATCGCCCGCGCCACCCAGGGCCCCGCCACCGCGCCGTCCCCGTCGGGCAGGAAGTTGGCGCTCGCCCCGCCAGCCCCGTCTTACCGTTCTTGGCGTCGCCCGCGGCTGCAGCCCCCGCGGCGGCAGCGGCGTTCGCGGCGCCAGTGCCCGCGCCTCCTGCGCCCGCCGCGCCCCCGGTGCCCGGCGCGCC